AATATCATCTCATCCTACCAGGTACCCATTCACTGCTGGGTGAACAGAGGCATACTTCGAACAAAGTCACGTGCCTAAGGAGGCTTGTGCTTCATGTGCTTCATGTGCTTCAGTGTGGGGCAGGACCGAAGCCCAAGAGTCTCTCAGGAGTCAAACTGGTCACCCATCCACCAACTCAGCGCAACCAACCTTGCTTAGCTTCAGCTCATTTGTGACCATTACATTTGCTTTGTACGTTAGGGGGGCACGGCTGGCCCAGTCGTCTTAGGCGCCACGATTTGCTGTGCTGAGTTGCATCCCTTGGGCATGCCAGAAATCTACGATTGTGGGTTCGAATCCCGGTTCACCTCGATTATGTTTCTAGGTTTGTCAGCACCATACCCGTTCTCGTGGGTTTCACCGAAGTGGTAAACGTCTGAGACCTGCATCACTTTGGGCTTTCCTCCCACATTAAGCTGACACGCCGTGATATAACTGGAATACTGTTAAAAGCGGTGTTAAACCCAACTCACTCACTCACTTTGTACGTTAGACCATGTGTCACATTTGATTCCTCCCCGAATAAGCTACATGCTGTGATGTAAGCAATGGTAACCTAGCCCACTCACTGTTTGTATAGAAATAACCTCTTTCCACATCTAATAAAATGAAGTTAGCTGGAGTAACACAGCCATCTTGTTTACAAGAGACCTTTGAAGATATTTCTATTTCCTTTCCTAACTGTTTATGAAATGATAGGAGTAAGACATCTGCAATTCCACATTGTGTCAGTGTGAATGACACCTGGGATACCAGGTGTTCGTAATATGTGTTGTGGGCGCCATCTGTACAGAGTTATGCCCCTTTACCGAATCTAGAACTCTAAACCTGGGTTTGTTTCACAGATTCGCCTGAATATGATTCAAGGTCTGTTAGCACCATACCTCTGTTCAATGTAATGTCCTGCAAAATTGATGCACTAAATTTAAGGTGAGGTGAGGTGAAATTGGGTTTAATGTCATGTCCAAGATTATTGCACTTATATAGCGACGTGCATGCACGTGTGTGTGTGTGGCTGCTTGTTCTAGTCCGGACTGATGCTGATTTATAGTGCTAGCTCACTGGATACCATATGCCACGGTTTAACATGAATACCCCACTCAGCACTCAGACACAGTATACTGACTCCAAGCTGACTTTTAGCCCCTTAATGCCGAGCGCCAGACAGGGTAACAAATAATACCATCTTTTAAAGTCTGTTGGTATGACACGGCCGGGGATCAAACCCCTTCCACTCTCCGGACAGACGCTCATCCACTAGACCACGGAAGAGGTCCACTAAATTCTAATTTGAAACCTTGCGCCGCTTGTCAGTCCAAAATTAAGAAGCCTTTTTAAATCTACTGGTAACCCACCTCTACATTGAACACATGGTATGTTTATCTCCTAAAGGACAAAAAATAACAACCAAACTCTCCCTTAAACACATTACAAACCACTGTTCACTGCCACACATGGAAAGAAACACAATTCAGGAAAACAACTCTAACATAATTTCAGTCAGTTTTCAAGCTATCATGAGATTTGTAACTCTTTCCAACGTGGAAACTTGAAAACTTTTGAGAAATCTAGAGGACTTAGAAAAATGTTGCTCAGCTGATATTCAGTTTTATTTTCTCAAGGAAATCCATGTTAGTTGTAATATGAGTGAGTGAGTGTGGTTTAACGCCGATTTTATCAGTATTCCAGTTACATCATAGCGTGTCAGCTTCATGTGGGAGGAGAGCCCAAAGTGATGCAGGTCTCAGAGGTTTACCACTTCGGTGAAACCCACGAGCATGGGTATGGTGCTGCACAGTGAATTGCGGCGCCTTAGACGACTGGGCCACCCGTGCCCCCAATTGTAATATGAAATTACAGATTTGAACATATATGTATAGATTGACAAATGGCACTTACCCTTTGAAGAGTTTTGTTGAATGCCATATATACTTTGTTAGTTGGACTTTTGATGTTTTGTAATGCATCAGATCAGGAAAGTATTCTTTTAAAAGTTTATATGTTTCCTTTGTGTAATGATACTCTGCCCACATAAGACCTATGCATATCTCACTTGATCCTGAAGGTGGGAGTTTTCTGTTTTTATTAACTATGCCTACTTGAATGTTTTTCAATAATTGCATATCTGTATGGATCGGAACTCGATCTTGGAGAATATTTTTAGGTATTATATAAATATTTCAATGTTGCTCTTTCATGTTAAGGTTGAGATTTTTTACACTGAAATTCTATTTAAGACAAATTGCCGACACAGAAGAGCCTTGTTTAAATCTTATTTGATATTTTAAATATTTTCTAACTTCTACCTGAAATAACTTGAGCGGCGTAAAGCAATATTTATTCATTTATTATGTTTGAAATAGAATGAAATCTGAAACATCAGAAAGGATATATATATCTTTCAAAAGAATTCTGTCTCTAATTTCCCGACATTTGACACCTTAATGTCTTTAGCCTTACAAAACGGTGATTACAATCAAATGCCTTCATTGAATTGTGAATTTTCTCAAAGCATATTCTTTATTCAAGTTTCAAAAAAATAATTACTTTCCAGTTGATCTATCACTAACAGTGTGTAATATGTTCTCAAGGCATGCCTAAGACAGTCAGCGGCTAACAGAACTGAGCTGTAGAATCTCGTACAAGCTGATGAGCGGCTTCCAACACAGTGGCCCCTTTCAGGCTATGAGAGAGACCTGTAGCGCTATTCACGTGCGTCTATATCACAACAATAACAACATAGAGTATACAGTGTAAGGCTATGCGAGCCTCTGTCATTGCATCCAGTGGATTTAGGCTCCTTGCAGTAGCCCAAATCTTTATGAGCTTTTAATTACTCCTTGTTTTATATCCAGAAATCTCGAAGCTTCAGATGACGCTCTTTGGAATGTTGGGTTTTCTTTAATGAAAATTCAACTGGAAATTCAATAGATTTTGCTTTCTTTGAAATCAAACCTTGATTGATTGACACTGTTTTCCGTTTGGATTGATCTTTATAACACGTTGTTCAGGGTTTCACTTTTTTTTAAGCATGTTTCATTTTCATAAATTGACAGATTTAATGATGCAGATGTTTTAATGAGTTTGCACAGTGGGAGAAATATGTTTTGGGAATGGCTTTTTCTGGAATGAGTTATAATGAAACATGTTATCAAGTAATAGAGCTGTTAATTTAAGCGAATCATTTTCTCAAGCCATTGATAACATTTGCTGCGTACAAGGTGTTGTTCTTAATATCATCTCACCTGTGTGTGCTGCAGGTTCCCTCTCAGAATGTAGCAGGGCGATCTAATTTGATCTTGCATCTAAGACGGTTATTAAGTTGTGTGAACGCCTGACGTATGCGAAACGGATAATTTCGAAATGATTATAAGCAAAGCTGACACACTGGCATATATTGCTTTGTTCACTTATGTATTCATCGGATATTCAGGGTGTTTATTTCCCTTTGATCTCAGCCTCTCAGTGTGTTTATTGATCAGGTCGATTCATGTTGATGTCAACTTTCTACCCAACCCCCAACTTTTCCTCTCTATGAAATGAAATGACCTGTACGCATGAGATGTTGGGAGAGTTTCATGGGACTTAAGATCAATCACTTACAAAAGAATTTTATTTCACTGTAGCATTTCTTCTGTGGATGCTGTCTTCAATAACTGCTAATCAAACTTTAATTTTGAATATTTTTTCTATATGTTCATGCAGAAAGTTATGAATAACGATTATATTGCATTTATTGAAATTTTAGAGTGAAATATTTTTCATTCGTAATATTTGATAATCTTCAATGAAAGAGATCTAAATATAGGTTATATTTTACACAAATTGTGTTTAATTGAAAATTATTCAAGGATGTGAGAACTGTAATTAGTGGTTTTTGAAAGTGTGCATGGTTTGCACTGAAAACAGGTCTTCATTGAATGTGTTTGACAAAATTCTTCAGCACTGCGGCAACCTGTTCACAGCATGTCTTATTCAGGGAACATATCCAGGCCAGTTATTAATGATGACAATGTTGATATCGTGACAGCTACATACATGTCCCTGCTTTAACACCATATGGGACCACACCTTTCCAATTAATTAATGAAACTTACAATTTTCAAGAACAAGGAGTGTTCCTTCAATAAACACAATTTGCCTTCTTACGGACATTTTTAATGAAATTGACTTGCACTTTGTCTCAGTTAAGCTGCAATGAGAGGCAAACCCAGGACATACATGTCAATCATTAATGGAAATTGACAGATTGTTCATGACATGCTCTGATATGTACATCCCCGAGACTGAAATTGACATCGTTTGGGGCTCACTCAAGCAATTGATTTGCAGTACCATTCAGTGCTAAATACATCAGTTTCTGAGTCTGGGCACAGAATGTCTAGAATGTGCAAACTCATAAAAATGTTTTTCATAATTTCTTTAATTATAAAAATAATACATTATAACTAAAAGAAATTATTTCTAAGATAAGACCACATGATGAGAATATGCTGACGACCTGATCATTACATACAAAACTACTTGATAATTATTTGTATGCAATGTTTTATATTTCTGTTTAAAATGACACTACAATTATGACTGTGGAATATGATATTGTCTAATGATAGTCAAAAAATGTCATTAAAAATTGGCAGGTCTGAGAAATAACTGTAATAACATGTTCATCATAGAACCTCCTCTTTTAGTGTTAAATATGATCTGTTAGTGATGTGAGATTATTTCATGATTTGATATGAGAAGAAATATGGAAGTGAATCTTACAAGGTAATAATCGATACATAGATTACCTCAGAAATATGTGAATGATGGGATAATCAGTACAAAAAATGTTGAATAGTTCATAGGTGAAAGAAAATGATATCTTGTAAGAAAAGTGTCTTTTCAGCTCATGGATGAAATAGGTGATAGGTGTGAGGTAGTCAATGATATAAAGGTAACACGATTGAAATACATACAGCAAAGTTTCCTCTCCGTTCTGTCGTTGTAGCGTAATTCCACATCCTAAGGCTCATCACGTCAAAGTTTCCAAACTCCCAACACTGGTCGACATTAAGACACCCCGTCGACATTAGGACACCTTGTCTGTGTTGTTAGTCTACAAACTCCAAGGTACAAGTTGGGTTCTTCCTCAACAATTTATACCGTAGGACTGTTCTCCAGTATTCGGTTTGATGGTGTGTGCACGTCAGTTTGGTTTGAGGGTTTCACGGATTACACTGCGATAAACGCGGCCTGGCGACTTGCTGCCAATCATTGGCCCTGATACTCCACTGATCACTCCCCCTTGATCAACAAGTCGAGTGAGCAAGCTTGGCAATACCAGCAGGCAGAACTCCGGAGATGCTAGTGGAGTCTGTGGCTGCCTCTACGGTTATTGACAATGTCTGGAATTATTGATAATTACTGCACGTGGCTTGTGCCATTGGGGGTGTTCTGTAGGGCTTCCGAGGATGCTGGCAGTTGGTGAGGAGAGGTGGGATGCAGTGGGAGAGGTTGCTGCTGTTGGTGATGGTGTTGGTTTAGTCCAAGGGGTTCAGTGTCTTCAACAGGTGTGGACATTCAGAAGGTGGAGGTGGTTTTGTCGGAGGATGTATTGTCTTGACAGTTTGTGTTGATCTTCAATAAGTGGGGGAACTGATTGCTTGTTGATGGATATAAGATCCTAGAGATAAGGGATGATATTGAAGATGCATTTTGTAAATTGCCTATTAGATTTGGGTGTAAATAACCCTAAAATGGTTATTGATAGATCTGTTTATAAAGTGTGATCATTGATTGAATGTGGACCGAGCCTCTTGAAGTTTAAAATAGAAATTAAGACACTGAGGAATTTTTGAATACCATAAAATTGACCCAGAATGTTAAAGATATTTTCACAAGTATTTCACCAAAAAATATTGTTTGTGGTTATAAAGTGTCACATACAATTGAGTGTGTTTTATCATAATGTTTAATGGGTATAACTGGATAGTTGTTTTTCCCAGCAAGTGTTATTTTAAGTTTTAAAAAAAGTATCTTGTCAGAGAAAACCATACTTATGGAAGGTTTGTATGGTTGTTGTTTACTAATTCTGTAATGATATTGTGAATAATGACACAGGAACTTAAATAAGGTGTCATTATCGTGTAGAAATATTTTGAAGTTGCAAATTGATAATGCAGCCGTAAGTCCAGACTAGGGATGTCGGTAATGTTTGTATTGAAGTTGTTCCGAAGGAGATATGGAGGTTTCAGTGAAGGTGCTGTTTTGTAGGAGACCTATACAGACGTTGGAGGTTGAATGTGTGTTAGCAGGGGAGGCTCTGTGAGCAGCTATGGCAAACATTTCTACTGTTGATGTCAGCTGCACTGGTTGTAGTAAGGGCTCCAGTAACTTCCCGTACGATAGAAAGAGTGGGGTTGGGATTTTGAGGAGAGACAAACCTACCTGAATTAGCATACCTTTGTTTATTGATAAAACATAAAATAAATATTATCTTTATATGGTATATAAAAATGCATACTCCACATTCTTAGAAAAAGTATCAAACTTTAAAACTAAAATTCATATTTTTCATGATTTCAGAAAAGTCTGAGACTGTGAAAATTAACTAAATTGTACAATCCTTCTATCCCAACCTTTTAATTCCCACCACCACAACCACCCATCTACCAACATCACCACTCACTCACTCACTCACTCACTCACTCACTCACTCACTCACTCACATCCGATCACATCCATTCACTCACTCACATCCACTCACTCACTCACTCACATCCACTCACTCACTCACAGCCACTCACTCACTCACTCACATCCACTCATTCACATCCACTCACTCACATCTACTCACTCACATCCACTCACTCACTCACATCCACTCACATCCACTCACTCACTCACATCCACTCACTCACATCCACTCATTCACTCACATCTACTCATTCACTCACATCCACTCACTCACTCACATCCACTCACTCACTCACATCCACTCATTCACTCACATCCACTCATTCACTCACATCCACTCACTCACTCACAGCCACTCACTCACTCACGCACATCCACTCATTCACATCCACTCACTCACATCTACTCACTCACATCCACTCACATCCACTCACATCCACTCACTCACTCACATCCACTCACTCACTCACATCCACTCATCCACTAACTCACTCACATCCACTCACATCCACTCACTCACTTACCATTACTCCATTACCACCACCCCTATTACAGTCACCTGATAAGTATGTGAGAGGTGAGTGCAAATCTTGGCTTGAAACCGCCACCTTAGAATCCTGGCATGTCAAACAGATGCAGTTCTGCATTGTGAATTGTAGGGCCTTAGATGACTTGGCCACCATGCCTCCACCCCTCTCTTCTCACGTCATAAACCATTACAACTACCATCACCTCATAAACCATCAACTACTTGATATCTCGTCATAGGCAACCACCCCCAGCCACCATCCCCTCATAAACCATCCCCGTCTCCGTGGTCTAGTGGATAGAGCGTGTGCCCAGAGATCAGAGGGTCGGCGGTTTGATGCCCAGGCTGCACTATACCATGAGACATCAAAAGATGGTACTTGTTACCAAGCCTGGCACTCAGCATTAATGGGATTAAACAAGAACTGGTAGACTTGGAGTCAGTATACTGTGTCTGAGTGGGATATCCATGTGAAACCGCACATGGTATCTCAGTCAGCTAGAACTTTAAACCAGCTAGCGTATCCCTGGCAATATGAGTGCCATCATCTTGAATGCATTGTTAAACCCGTTTTCAAAACATCTTATAAACCATTCCCTCCTACTGCAATGATTTTATTAGAATCATTTAGTCATCTTGACATTCTTGCTTGCATGATGAATTTTTTTCATTTCTAAATCAGAATCCTTAAACATTTTTCTCCATAGAGTTCTGGATGAGGATAGGCCCTCACCACCCCATTGTTTTGTTTGTGTGTTGTTTATTTAACACCAAACTCAGCAATATTCCAGCTATATGATGGTGGTCTGTAAATAAATAAGTCTGGACCAGACAATCCAGTGATTGACATCATGAAACTCGATCTATGCAATTGGGATACGATGACATGCATCATCTAAATCACATAACCACCCAGTCCCGTAAGTCGCCTCTTACAAGCATGGGTTTCTAAAAAAACAATTCTGACCTGAGGATCTTCACTGGGCATTAATTAAAATAACTCCTGTCATGTCAACCTGATTCACCAATATGCGACCAGCCCCAACAACACCTTCAGTCGTCTTAATGAAGATGTATTCAATAATTTAATGATCCTGGAATACTGATGGTTTGGAATCATATATGGAAATGTTGCCAAGCTGTTTCACTCTGAATAGATCCAAAATTCCATGTACAGCATGAATAATAAATGTTAATGCTTTAAAACCATCCAAAGTCAATATACGGACAACTAAAGAACATGTAATGGAATTTATACTAATGAAATTTGATAACAAGTTTGAGCTTGGAAGAAGTCATAACCTTTATACAATACAACTGTAATTACATGGCCAATCATTCAATCACTCAATCATTCATATCCACTCACATCCGCTCACTCACTCACATCCACTCACTCATATCCACTCACATCCATTCACAACCATTCACATCCATTCAGAACCATTCACATCCACTCACATCCATTCACATCCACTCACATCCACTTACTCACATCCACTCACTCACTCATATCCACTCACTCACATCGACTCACATCCACTCACTCATATCCACTCACATCCACTCACATTCACTCACTCACATCCACTCACATCTACTCATTCACTCATATCCACTCACATCCACTCACTCACTCACATCCACTCACTCACTCACATCCACTCACCCACTCACATCTACTCACTCACTCACATCCACTCACTCACTCACATCCACTCACATCCACTCACTCACTCACATCTACTCACATCCACTCACTCACTCATATCTAAGTTTGGGCTTGCAAGAAGTCAATCATTGTCATATATAGAATAACCTTTATACAACATAACTGTAATTACATGGCGTCATGCCGTGTTTGAAAGGAAATTGTGTCCTTGAAACTATTACAATATGATACTGAAATTCATTTCATATCCGTTTTCCTTGTCATAAATCACCCACAAATAACAGAAACAGTCTCAGATTTGTCACATTCAAAGCAAGTATTGCCCTACCATTATGCTAACTGAAAATGACGCCAAGATCCAATTGTGCTAGCAGTTGTAAATTACACACAGATAACGCAAGGCTATACCGACAGACACTACGCCAATGAAGACAAAATTCTCGTAGTTCAACGATCCTGCCAAACCCACAGCCCATAGCGCTGAGATGTTGGAGGCTTGCTAATGGTCCTTCAAGTGTAGAGTATATCTTGACTATACGTTCTGGAGGGGCATGTGGTTATGCGTAGAGCTAATTTGGCCACCTGGTGGAGAAGGGGCAGAGGTGTAGAGTGCTGGTACAAGATACTCACGGTTTGTTGGAGCTCTGTCAGGTCGGGTTACAGGTCGCTGTGTTCATTGTGGGGGACCTGAACCGACCCTGTGCTGCTGCTGCTTCTTCTGCTACTGTGTTACTGTAATGGCTCTGGTTTGCGATGGGTGTTACAGAAATGAGGCTGTTTTAGTAACCGAGTCTGGCAATAGGTCTGATACTCCTGTAATTGACCTTTTGAACGTGCTGATTTGAGGCAAAGGGTTGAAAGATTACCGACTTAAGCTCTTTTAGATAGGTATTCTTGGGTTGCCAGGTCTTTTTCACTTTTGAACTGAACCGAGTTTTGCTGGACTTGTACTTTTTAAAAGGGGGATTGGATGGTGGAAATGGCTGCAGAGTATGTCATACTTGGATGGTTGTAGGACTGCCAAGTGTCCGTCTGCCTTGCTGATTGATGCCTTAATGATGTGGACACATGAGAAAAAAATTATTTTTTAAAAGTACTATGATTTGAATAGATGATAAAGTTCATTTCAATACAGAAACCTAAAGATGAATCTCAGAATGGCTTTTTGTTTAGATCGCTATCAGCATGTCTGTCCGTCATTGTTATTTTACTAGAGCAGAACTAAAAAGAATTCATCATTTCTTCATTAAATTTTAAACGTGTATCTGTGGCCTTTTGCTATTTTAATTGTTTTCATTTGATGGAGGTAAGTTGAAGTTATTAAATAATTAATCAGACTTGTCATGGCTATGTTACAAAATCTACTAAAAATGTTTATAAATTATCACTCAGAACTGCTGCTTCTATTTATTGAATGTTCAAGTGATACATTTCCTAGTCAGCAAGTTCATTGCTGTTGATGTCTGGAAC